ATATATAATACTATACACACGCACTCTCTCTATCTCCCTCTCCCTCCACCTCTCCCTTTCTCTCTCCTTCTCTGCCTCTCAATCTCTCCACCTCTCTCTCCTATTTCTTTCTTGCTCTTACTCGCTCACTCTCACCTAGTTTTCTTTGTCTTTCTCTCATTTCTACCTTAATGCAAAAGACGTAAGTTTGATTCCCACGAGGTTCAGACATTTGATAAGAGTACCCCTATGTATCTGCAGTATTCATGTATCCCCAAAAACCTGGAACAAAGCTGAAAGGGACGTGTTTTTTTAGACGGTCAACCCACCAAATCATATAGACCTCTTCGATGTAGACGTAAAAATCTTAACAGACAGTTTCATTCCTCTTACCTTGCCCGACAATTTGACTGGAAGAAGCGTCACGCCCGACTGAGAGTCCCACACTCCGAACTGAATCTCCGTAAAACCCAACACAGAACGTCCGTAAACATACCTGAAATAAAGAGCTTTCTCATGAATGCACCTGACAAAAGAATGGGTTTTTTTAGTAAATAATGCCTAAAATATTTTTTGGAAAGCATATTATCCCTTAGTAGACATTTCGCAAACCCCCCAAAAAAAGAAAAAATCTTTTTCGTTTTTCCGTTCTGATAGAACAACATTTAAGTAAACATAAAACTTTTTTTTGTTAATAAAACTTTTACGTAGACATATCTAAAAATCAACAATCAAGACTTATTCGTAAACATATTCTCATGAAAGAACTTATGAGTAAAAAATATCTAAAACGAGCCTTTTCCGAAATGAAATTTAAGGGAGGAGAAAATTTTGGGATGGATGGGCTCGTATGGGTATGGTATATTATAATAATATACATGAACATGTCAACATGTGTGATTGTGTGTACCCCTCTGTGTGTATGTGCATGTGTGTATGTGTGTGTGTGTATGTATGTGTGTGTGTATGTGCGTGCGTAGGTTGTTATCAATGTATTACTTACAGAATATATGTGCGCATGTCTGTGCGTATGCGTGTCTGTTCATGTATGCTTGTATCCATTACGTATTGATATTCAATATTCTTACTTTGCTGACACAACGAGTTTGATCCAAGAGTTCCTATCCGTGATCACACGTTCATCTATCTCGAGGTTAGCGTAGAATCGAGGGAGAACTGGAATAGAATTTGAAGAAAAACGTTTACAAAATTATTTGTTCAGTAATTTATTTGCCTTAAGTCCTTTTGGGGTGAATTTTTTTCACGTCTATCTCGTCAGTAGCTGCAGCAGGTAACAGTCATATTACTAATATTATCAATCTTTAATTATCATTTTTACAATTACTTTATCATCATCATCATCATCATCATCATCATCATCATCATCATCATCATCATCATCATCATCATCATCATCATCATCATCATCATCATGAAGAGCTCAGCCCATATTGCCTAAGATGCGGTCATGAAAAGGAGGATGTCAAGCATTATATTTGAATGGCCAGGAACAATGACAATTCGAATAGAGTTATTTGGACGAGTGGAGGTGCCGCTAAGCATATTTACAATGGAGCTGAAAAGAGCCTCGCTCTCGCTCGAAGATTTCTTCGTGGAGTCCGCCAGGCCCATTATGGAAACAAAAAAAAAAAAAAAATCATCATCATCACTTTTTTTGTTTTGTTATTGTCATCTTTGTTAATTTCATTATAATCAAATGTATACTTGTTAATTTTTTTTCATTATTATCAATATTATCACTATTGTTAGTATCACCATCAGAGTCCACTATTTAGATCAGCAGCACAGACAAAGAAAAGCAGCAGTCTGGAATACATGTAATTGTTCTGTGACAAAAGCCTCACTCAAGAGTAGCTTTTACAATGACCGAAAAAAACGTTATATATAACTATATACATATA